GATGCCACCACTGCCCCACTGCCAGTGCTGTTCCTGCAAACCAGTGCTGCTCCTACTGCTCAGCCCATGCAACCCCCACTGCCAAAACAGCTTCCTCTCTGCCTGCTTCTTTGCATCACTAGCTCCCTGTTTCTAGTCTGGATGCAGGCATCTCATTGGCCAAGCCTGTCTTGTGCCCATTCTTGCCATAGCTGCAAAGGAGCCTGGCAAATGAAGCATCTGGTTTTTGGCTTCTGTGGTGAAAGAAAGACTCTGCTTTCTGCCTTACCTCACACAGTGGGAAAATCCACAACCATAGGAAAGGGATTTGGATGTGGGGCAGCTGGAAGTAAAACCCATCTGCTTCACCTTTCCACTGCCTATTCGACTCCTGGCCTTTCTGGCTCCTTGAGGACTTCGTATAACCGAAGACTTGATATAGTCATTGCTAAAAGGTCATCTTCTCAAGTCTCACCTTCTAAGAACCTAAATCTTGGACAATTTTGTTCTTTTAACCTTTATTTTCTTTTGCCTGAAATGAAATTGCCTATTTCATTAACCCCAATTTTAGAAACATGAAGATCCATGCCCAAAGTAAATGAAACTGTTCTCAGGTGTTCAGGGCGATAAGTCATTTATTTTCTAGCTATGATTTAAGAGCAACTTTCAGACAACTTCTGTCCCTAAAATTCAGTTTTTATTTTGAACTATTTCTGATGTATCCTGAGACTGTAACAGAGGGAGCAGTCACAAGAGGAATGGATGATTTATGGATTCTCAAAGGTCGAGTCTTCCTTCCAAGTTTTCTTTACACCTGCACCATTCACACACCTGCGCTATTCACACACCTGCACTGTTCATACACCTGCACCATTCACACACATGCACTGTCCATACACCTGCACCATTCACACACCTGCACTGTCCATACACCTGCACCATTCAAAACATGCACTGTCTATACACCTGCACCATTCACACACATGCACTGTCCATACACCTGCACCATTCAAAACATGCACTGTCTATACACCTGCACCATTCACACACATGCACTGTCCATACACCTGCACCATTCACACATCTGCACTGTCTATACACCTGCACCATTCAAAACATGCACTGTCTATACACCTGCACCATTCACACACATGCACTGTCCATACACATGAACCATTCACACACCTGCACTGTTCATACACCTGCACCATTCACACACCTGCACTGTTCACACACCTGCACTGTTTATATACCTGTACCATTCAAAACATGCACTGTCTATACACCTGCACCATTCACACACATCCACTGTCCATACACATGAACCATTCACACACATGCACTGTCCATACACCTGTACCATTCACACACATGCACTGTCCATACACCTGTACCATTCACACATGCACTGTCCATACACCTGCACCATTCACACACATGCATTGTCCATACACCTGAACCATTCACATACATGCACTGTTCATACACCTGCACCATTCACACACCTGCACTATTCACACACATGCACTGTCCATACACCTGCACCATTCACACACCTGCACTGTCCATACACCTGCACCATTCAAAACATGCACTGTCTATACACCTGCACCATTCACACACATGCACTGTCTATACACCTGCACCATTCACACACATGCACTGTCCATACACATGAACCATTCACACACATGCACTGTCTATACACCTGAACCATTCAAAACATGCACTGTCTATACACCTGCACCATTCACACACATGCACTGTCCATACACCTGCACCATTCACACACATGCACTGTCCATACACATGCATTCTTCAGTATTAGCCCGGTGTGGCTACTGAGTGCTTGTAATAGGGAATATCCAAGTTTCAGCACTTGAAATATTCTAAAAAATGTAAAAGCCAGACAAAATTTTGAAGACATAATACTTATTCTGAATGTAAAATATCTCATTACTAATTACATATACTAATATGTAATTGATATAGTAATATAGATATATTGACTTCGACAAAATGTTTTATTAAAATAAATGTCATCTGTTTCTTTTTACTTCTTAACTGTAACCCCTAGGTCATTTAAAATTACATATGTGGCTGGCATCATGTTTATATTACACTACTCTACACACTGAAATGCACCTATACATTTCAGTCAGTACATTGCCCTGAAGAATCCATACCACAAAACAAGAAGACATCTCTGAGACCAACCAGGTACAGTTATACTTTTTGAATTATCTTGCATGAACAAAATTAATCTATTCATCATTCACTTAGCAATGTTCTAGATTAAGTAATTAATTAATTAACCATTATTGAGAATCTACTACATGCCATAAACGGTGTTGGAGAATGGGACAACTGTGAACAAATCAGACCCAGCTACTGCCTTTGTGCAAAGTCAAGTAGTTAAGAGAGCACACTTGGAAGCCTGACGACTTGGGTCCAAATTCTGACTCCATCCCTTACCAGCCATGTGATCTGGAACAAGTTAAAACAGCTCTAGTTTTCTTATATGTAAAAGAGGAATTTTATCTGGCTAAGATGCTACAAGAAATAAATTGGTAAAAGGCAAATAGAAGCGAACTATGTTAGTCACCTAGTGCTGTGTAACTGAGCAGCTTGCATCATGCTGCAAGTTATACAAACTGCAAGTTATAAAACAACATGCATTTATTATCTCACTGATTCTTTGGATTAGGGATCAAGGCAGAACTTCCCTAGGTCCTCTGCTTTAGGCTCTCTCACAAGGCTGAAATCAAGATGTTAGCCAGGGCTGGGGCCTCATCTGAAGGCTTTACTGGGGAAGGATTGACTTCCAGGTTCCCTAAATGATGATTGCCAGGATTCCTATCTTTTGGGATATTGAACTGAAGACTTCAGTTTCTAACTGGCTTCCTTGCTTGGGCATCTCCAACCTGGCACTTGGTTTAATCAAAGCCAGCAAGAGAGAAAGTCTTCCTCCCTTCATGGAGCTTACATTTGAGCTGGCTGTATGGCAGAGGGTAGCAGGAGGTTGGTGGAAGAGAGACAAGCACTAGCAATGGAAACAAATAACTGCTTGATCTAAATTCCATTAAGGTTACATCCCCAAATTACAGAGTGCTCATTCTAAAATGCCAATCTCATCATGGCCCTCTTTCTTTTAGTAAATATTCTCCAACTGGTAGGCTCATTGCTTTAAAGATAAAACAGAATTTCTCAATATTTACTACAACCTACTGTTCCATGCTGTGTTTCCAGTGCATCTACCATAGCAGTAGTTGAATGCTTACATAGAGTAGCTACTTTGAAAATGATTTTTAAAATGTCTTTGATTTTCAATTTTTTTGCCTTTTATTTTTCCACTTGTGTTCATATCTTTACATTAAATGATATTCTATTGAAAGGAGCATCTTAGTGATATTCCAGTAAAACTGGAATTAATAGTCTTGAACCCTTGAAGATGATAGTATTGGTACCAACATCTTCTTGAAGGCCCTGTCCATCATTATATCATCATTATCATAAATACTGATGTAAAGCTGACTTTTGTTATCATAAAAACAAGATTGAAGGCTGAGGCAGAAAGAAAGATCACATGAGACTGGGAATTAATTTGATACCAGCTTGGGCAACATAATGAGTCCCTGTCTCTACCAAAAAAAAGGATGGAACGTTCTGGCCCTTTACCCAAGTCAAGAAGGTGGGAACAAGTCAAATTGCTTAGAAACGAACCATAATATAAGCTTTTTAAATTTATTTCTGGTGGATTCTGTGCTGGAGATGTATGGGCGGGAGCAAAGAATTTTTTTTTAAAAATCAAATAATTCTTCCTATTAAGTTGGTGGAAATTCCAACAGAGGTAGTCACTAGACAGATGCTATCCAGTGAGTTGAGAGTCTCAGGAGAACTGGAGGCTGGTAAATGTAGACTCAAAGAGCCTTAGAGTTGGAAAGACATCACAGGTGATGCAGTGCAAGCCCCCAGCCATAGAAAGAGTCTTTTCAATGTCACACCAATCCCACGGCTTCTTTTACTTCCACCTTCTAATTATAGAGAACTGGCTCTTTTACAGGGCTGCCATTTTCATCATTAGAACCCAGCTGTTATTTGCACTCTTCTTTATTTTAAGGTATTTCCCCGGAATTGCTACACATTAAAAGTTTTAACATTTTAGGCAACAGAAATTTTCATTGAATCCTCTTGCTGTGCAACAGCCCCCACACTTGCTCTCAGGAGTCTCACCTATCTTAGAAGTCCTCTCTGCCATACTTCTCTTCAGATGTCTCTGACGTGCACCGCCTCTGAAGTTTTTTTGTTCCAGCCATCTTCAGTAGGATGAAGAGTAAGTTCTCAGAGTACCAAGATGGCAGAGCGATGCCTAACACATCGTCTGACTAATGAAGAATAATTAGAACATTATTCCATGATCTATTTTTCTATTATTGTAGCTTAATATCACGTTAACTTTGTAAGCAACCATTTCACACTCTTGGGTGCCCATTGAAAGTTTGTAGTCAGTTACAATCTTTGAATTTTTGTTTCACATGAAGTGTTGCCAAAGCAGATATTTCCCAACCTGTGTGTCTGCTAGAGTGTGTGTTAATCTCAGACCTCTCTGTGATTACTGGAAAATCACTGGCCGTAAACCTTACTTTATTAAACTATAAAATGACCCTAATAATGTTAGAACCACATGTGAGGTGCTGTAGGAAGTACCATGTCTGGTAGACATGTGCTTCTCTTGTAAAGAACAGGCTATTTATAACCACTGTCTTCTCAAAAGACCATAGGTGACCAGGCTAATTACCTTTCTAAAAGCTAATTTTTAATTCACAGCATTCCCTTCTTTTTACTCTACTGGAATCCCTGCTTCCAACAATTAAACACCCATCGAGTTAATTTTCTTTCCTCTCACACAGGTTGACTGAGCTCTTGACTTTTTTTTTTTTTTCTTTTTTGGAACAGCTGGTCAGGTCAAGAAACCCAACCCCTCTCCACCAACCGGAGCCCCGCCCCCTGCCCCCGGCTGGCCGGCCGGGGAGTGGAAGGCCAAAGACGGACAGGAGGGAGCTCGCTGCTGCTCCCCGCCAAAGCGCAGGCTCGGCCTGCCTCATCCAGTGGGACGGCAAAGGGTCACTCTAAAAATTGCTGCAGCAGGGTCTTGTCAGGTGGCTGCTGGTGGCTCCCCACCGGATTTTCCTTCTCCCTCTCTCTGTCTCCACAGATCCCTTCCCAAGAGGAGTCTCCTGCTAAAACTTCATCATCTCAAGTTGAGCTGCCACTTCACCCAGGAGGGTAAGGAGCTGGGACCATTAGTCGCCAATTCCTACCTTCTAGATCCTGGGGTGTGTGTGGTTGTGTGGGTGGGAGAGGGTGGGCTGAGTGTTTGCGGTTGTAGAGCTATTTTATTGAAGTGAGTCTACAACTGGGTCAGGTGGTTAGTGTCCCTAATCTGAAGTTGGGAGGCAAAAAACATTTTTTTGAAATCTGAGAAATATAATGTGTTGGGAGAATGTCACAGTAACAGAAATGCATGAGAGTGATACCCTACAAACATAAAACCACCTGTAATTTCTAACAAAAATTCTCAATCTCTGAAGCTTAAGATATATTTTTCTTTCACTACTTTACAGAGAAGGAGAAGGAAAGCAAATTCTTAGGCTTTGTTCACAAAGTTTAGAATTCTACCTTTATTTTTATCAAAAATCTTTTAAATATTTGGTACTGATCAATTTGGATAAAATGTTACCATTTTATCTAAATTTGAGGCACAAAAATCAGGCATCTCTGAATTCCCAGAAATATAACTTATTGACAAAATAGAAATATCCTTCCTGCAAAAAAACTCAAATTTGTTATTTGGCTTAAAAATAGGTTTTTGTCTTAAATGTGCACATATCATTATGCTGACATACATTTTATATTAAAAATTGTGTTGGAAGTATATGGTAAAAAGGAAACCTCCCACTGTCCCCAAAGTTGGACTTAAAATGGCAAGCGACAGAAGCCAGGAGGGTTTCTATTCCTGGAGGTTAGGGCTGATGAGCGCCGACAGATGCAGTGATAGGAATGTGTCCAGGACAGGGAGCAGGAGCAGCTGATTCGCCCCTTTGGCAAAAAGACATTCTGGGATCCCAGTTCATACTGGCAGGAGATTGACAGTGACACTTTAGCACACATGGCTTTTCAGCTTGCCCTGTTGTAGACTGTCTCCCAGGAAGCGTGGGTGCAGGGCCATGGGAAGGAAAATGACCTTAAATGTGAAGTAATAACTTTTCTGTAACCAGCTTTAGGAGACTTCATCTGGGATCTGTTTGGGGCCAAGAAGAATTTAAGTGCAATATTTTCACATGGACTTTCCCACTTACAGACAAGGGTCCGATTATGTACCATTGCTTAGAGGCATTATTCTCAGTCCAGTGGTTCTGGATCTATTTTGGGTATGACCTCATGAAAATGCTGAGCCCACTCTGTGGAAAGTACACATAAACACATGCACGCAATATGTTTCAGACTATTCCACAGGACTCATGGACTCACCTGATACCTAACCCAGATCAGGAATGCCAGGTATAAGTCAGGTCACCCAGTTACGTTTGAATTTCAGGTAAGCCACAAATCATCTTTTAGTATAAGTATGTCCCCAACACTGCCTGGGACATACTTATACTAAAATATGATTCATAGTTTATCTGAAATTCAAGTGTAACGTAACATCTTGTATTTTCATTTGCTAAATCTAGCAGTTCAGACCCAGATACATAGATCCCATGTGAAGAAACCCTGTCTCAGTCGGTTCATCCCTAACTGATAATGAGTAGATTCTAAAGATATGGAAGGCCATATTAAAGGGAGAATTGGTGTAGGAACAGATTTTGACAATTCTGACAGCAAAAGTAAGCTGTATATTCGTAATTCTCTGCAATAGTATAGAAGAAAAAGTAATGGATCTCCTTGTTTGACAAATGATTAAGCTGAAATCCTAAAAGGTTGGATGTTCTGCCCCAGGTCTATCAAGTGGTTAGAGCAGAATGAATACCAAAACCCAGTTTTCAGTTCTATGATGATCAAAAAGACATCAGTCTTAAAAGTCAATTTGTAACTCCCTCTCCCTCCAACACACAAAACACTAGGAAAAAGAAAGAGCCATTTTACTAAAGCTTTCAACAACACCCAAACAAAAACTTTTGTACTGTGTCTTTGTGTCCTATATCCAGCCTTAGAGAATAGAATTATAGTTAACTTTGGGCATAGAGTCTGTATACTTTATAGGTAAAAGCTAGGCACAGCCTATAGCTAAGTTGAACCACATGAAATTGAAAATATTTGCTTTTAATTTCGTATTCAATCTAATACTTCTAAAGGAAGTGCTTGGTTATCTGATCAGCAAATGTATGCAGGCCCTCCTTGGCCCTATTTATTTGGCTTACCTAACCTATTGGATTTCCACATTCTTACTACCCTGATTAGGAGACAGAAATCCATGGGATGGATGTCTCCCCAAACAAATTTATTTTGCTTTCAAAAAGGTAACACTTTTATTCCAGTGTTTGGGACCAGAAAGAACCATTTCATGTTCTCCATATAAAACATTTTAATTTTATAAACACAAGCTGTAGCTTGCACTGTCTCGATTTTCCCATGTTAGAAAAAGCTAACTTTTAACCTACTATAGTTTTTATCCTACCCTGGATTTAAAGAAGACAGTATAGGGTTTCCATGGGTTTGAATTTTTGCTCTGGTACACACTGCACACTTATTTATGTGATCTTGGACGATTTTTTTTACTCTTTCTGATTCTTAACTTCTTCATTTGTAAAATGAACATAATATAACCTACCTTTTAGGATATTTATATTTAAATTTAAAAAATAAAATTATGTAAAAGTACTTAACCCAGGGCTCAGCACATAGTTTATCCTTAAATAATAAATGCTATCTATATAGCTGTTATTTTAGGTGGAAATGGAGCTATCCATTTACATTAAATGCATAATACAGATTCCTGCTTGGTGACGTATATTTAGGAATTACTATACTTAAATTTGGCAAATAAAAAAGATGATGAAAAATGTGATGATTTACGTAATTCTGCCCAGCTGCTTATCAGGTGTTGAATATGTGGCACTAGAAATGGCCCAAGAGCCAGGATCTGCAGCAGGCATGGGAGGGGAGTGTGGAATTGCGTCTCTGTTACCCTTCTGCCTAGTTTCTAAAGGGCAGGTCTTCCAGGGTAGTCAAGAGGCTGCTCTAGGTGACAGCAGATGGAGCAGAGGGAGAGAGGCTGTGGAGTTCATAGCCAGGGAAGGAGAAGTCTCTGGGCTTCCTCCACAGAATGAAAGGATAGCTCTAGTAGCAGAGGGACCTTCTACAACCCTTTGTATCCTGTGCAAAGTCTCTTCTTTGACCCAAAAGGGAAGGGACTGGCAGTGCCTCCAAATAGCTGTTCATCCCATTACACAACCTCAGCTGCTGTGGCTAAACCTGCTCCTCCTTCCAGAACTCCTACTATGGTAGGAACTCTGAAAAGTGCAAGCTACCAACAGTCCCGGGGGAAGTGTGTAAAGTTCTTCCTCCCTTTGATCCCAAAAGGCAATGGGTTAGACGCCTTTTGGGTAGGTAGCCAGGCAGAACCAAGCCTATTGTGGTTTAGGAAAAATGGAAAAACAGCCTTCACACTCTCCCACACACTCCCTAAGCCACAGGCAGCTTAGCAAGGGTTCAGGCAATTCTCCTGCCTCAGCCTCCTGAGTAGCTGGGATTACAGGCACGTGCCACCATGCACTTATAGCAAAGATGCATGCCCTGCCATGCAGACCATAACCCGAGCCAAAGCCCTCCCTAGGGTATAGAAGTCACATCCTGGCTGATGGCCCTGGCTACCGAGTTTGGGGACGCCCTGAGCAGCTGACAATAAGACATTCACTCTGTTAAAAAGAGAGAGAGAATTTGATAGTTTTTCTTTTAAAAAGAGTAAGTAAAATCCTCCTCCAACACTATAAAGTTAAAATACAAATAGAATAAAAAAGAATGGAATGTTTTCAAAATGTATCACTTGGCATCTAGGTTATACTCTATATACGAACACATATATGCAACACATTATTGTAACACCACTTCCTCACTGCCACATTTTGACCGCTATTGTGACCATGATTGACGATGGCCTAGGAGTGCACAGTGACCATTTGTATCATTGTGGAAAAACGCAGTGAGAGCTCCTGTGTGAATTGCTCTGACTACATGTTCACATGTGACCTGGTTACTGGGTAATACGTTGTTTAAAATACTGTTTTTCTCTATTCATCTTCTCTTAGCCCACACCGTCAGCCTCGAAGCCCAGCACTATGACCAAATTAGTAAATGGAAGTGAATTAAATTCTTCCACATTCCTTTCCTGCACATACATATTACTTTGCCAGCCTTGTGTGACTTCTTTCCTTGAAGATTGCCCTTGCGGTTAACTTAAAATGACTGGGAAAAGTCCTGGTTGGTCAAGTGGCATGCTGTGTGTTTGGGTGGATATGTGTTTCTGTGCACCCAGTCTGATATGCCTTGTGTCCGTACTCCCCAGAAAGGCTCCAATGTGAGGGGCCTGGAGAGTTCGTTGAAGCCTTCCCTGCATGTCCTATGAGAACATAGCCTCTGGGTTCTGATCCCCCATGAAGATGGAGCTAGTCTTTTCTGCAACAGGGCCTGGAGCACAAGATGCAGTTTATTGATTCTTTTTGTTTGTTTGTTTCTGAGACGGACTCTCACTCTGTCACCCAGGCTAGAGGGCAGAGGCATGATCTCGGCTCAGTGCAACCTCCGCCTCCCAGGTTCAAGTGATTCTTCTGCCTCCTGAGTAGCTAGGACTGCAGGCACATGCCACCATGCCCAGCTAATTTTTGTATTTTTAGCAGAGACAGGGTTTCACAATATTGGCCAGGCTGATCTGCCCACCTCAGCCTCCCAGCTTATTGATTCTTACTGGCCTACAGTCCTCCTTAAGTTGAGAAAAGCAGTGGCTTTGGGAGATACAGGAGCAGGGTCACAGACAGAGCATTTATTGGGACATAGGAACAAATGAACAACTCTGCAGCCCTAAAGTCAACATCAGAGCTTTGCTCAGCTTCAAAGCAATGACCCTGATCCTCAGGTTCCTCTGAAGGGTTTGCAGCAGTGTCCTTATTGGAGGACCATGGCACAGACTGAGAACACTTGGGCAGGTGGATAGACAGCCTTACCTGTGAGTTGCAGACTCAGCAATGAGATATTATGGTAGCTCTAAAGAAAGACTGAATTTATGAGCA